TATATACACCTTAGAGCAACATTATTCTAGTATGGTCCCCAAGGTGGAAATATAATATATAAATAGGCATATAGTACATTAAAAACGTTATTCCATTAACAATGCACTGTAAAGGTAAATAAATAAAAAAAATGCTATCAAGTTTTCCGTAACATAAACATCAATTTTAAGGAAATGATAAAGGGAGTGAGAGATACGATCTGGAATAAACAAAAAGATCTATTAACATTCGTTGCAGAAGCAAATCACTGTGTGGTGTTTAAATCGAACACTTCATTCAAATTGATAATGAAGCTGTTCTTTCATCCCCTACAACTTGCTGAAGCAGTCGGCAATTACTAGCGAAGTCCTGTTAATTTTTTTTATCTCTTTTTATTTACTACGTCCCAGTGACATCATATGTTGTTTTTTACAACAATAAATTTTATTGTCCGACAACCCATTTTTTTATTTTTTTGGAATACTGCCAGAGTGGGTTTCAGTCTCCTTACAATAGTATTGTCCTAATGCAAGAGGGCTCTCTTTCATAAATTCATTCAGTTTAGTAGATTCATCCATCAATTCATCCATCAATTCATCCATTCTGACAACCGCTTCAATTTAGTTCATAATAAAAAAGGCACTGCAATGTATATAGTCAATTGATGAAGAATCTTCTTCATAAAATAATCAGGTTTCTTGTGGTATCGGCTCCATTAGGGGAGTCCCCGTATATGTCGATGTACCTTGTATCCAATGGGAGAGCCGCTAAGTACGTTATTATACTTCCTAAAGGAATATTACTCTCGGGCCATCTTCTAAATATAGATTGGTGTGGCTTATTTCGTTTTAATTATATATCTAAATGATTTCGTTTTATTCATCACTAGCAACATCTTGAGGTATCATTTTTGTTGGTGATAGTTTATGTTGTTAGTGATCAGAATTATGTTAAATGAGTGTGTCGCTTAAAGTTAAATCTTAGCAATATTACAATATGTCAAATATGTTTATGTGATTAAGCCATAAGTGATCGTAATATTCATTATTCATATGAGAATTTATTATTAAAAATACCATAAGGTTTTAATTTCATTAAGGAAAAATTTAGAGGAATCCTCAATGTCTTATAAACTATTTGATAGACGTCACATAGGAAACTTACATAATCGTGTTTAATATTTATATTTTGAAATAATCTATTCCTACAAAAATCTTAAAAGTGTAATTCCTTTTACTTGATTGACATAGTTTTTCTAGTTTTACTGACATTTTGCTAATCAAGTAGGACATTTATATACTTTCTTAGTAAATAGGTTAACATATATTGTAATAAATTTGCACATATGGTTTTGTCTTTGGGGGAAAGAATTTATAAATTTCCTAAATAACAAACGAAAATTGAGAAAATTAATATATCGTCGTTCATGGTAATGAATCATTACAATGTAATTTGACCTTTGCTTGGTATGGTAGAATCTTCCAGAAAATAAACTACAGATAAAATGTGTAATTAATAGTGTGGAGTGTGGATGTGACATAGATTTATAAACACTGAGTGTTGTGTATGGCCATTTGCCAGTTATCTTATTGTAAAAATAGCAAATGGTTCGCCACCGATTACTACCTCGTTCTTCCCCATTACCTTAACGACGTGTTCGACTATTAACCTGCATTCCTCACTTCATATGTTTTGCAATCAGAATCGCTGATGCTATTTTATAATTAAAAAAAAATGTATGTTTGACGAGATTCACAGCTACTTGTGAAAAGACTCCTTGTTTGTTAGCATCTTAAAATATGTATTTTGAACAATATATGAATGAATTAAATGATATTCTTTTGCAGAAAATTATAATGGGATAAATTTTTTGTGTTTCTTCTGCTTTTGGAAGACAGCATGGTTCAATTAAGAACTTTTGATGGCAACTGGAAATTTGGTGTGTATTTCCAAATATTTCGCCTGATCTTGTGATTTTATTTCTAAATAAGTTAACTTTTTTTTGATATTTCAATATGATTTGAAAATAAAAAAACAAATGCATGTTTTGCACAGTCGGTGAGCTCTTCATATATAGCCGACGTAAAACGTGTATAACTAACCTGTGGGTAGTTTGATTAACTTAAAGGTGACACATTTGATATTCACGTAAATAATTCTTGTACATTCGAGTACCATGAGAAACATGGGGTACGCCTTTTTACGTTATCTCAGCATGTTACAATACAAAGATTTATGCTTCGGTTTATAATATGGAGTTTTGAAGCTAATCAACATTTGATGAGATTGCGTTATTAAAGTATTGTTGGTGCTTTATTTACTCATTGTTCATATATAACAACAAGAAAGCATGCAGTTAATATCTTACAATACAGAAAATTATATATTAAGTGTCTTTTTACGACACAAAAATGATAACATTCAAAAGTACACCATTAACGACGTTACTTTTGCATATTATTGGTGTGTTCGCCATCGATTTACGTAAAACAAAATTGTGTTGAAAGCACTATTTATGCATTGTCGTCTTAATATGAACAGTACAGACTATATTCCGTCTTTGCATATTGCAGAGTTATCTTCTCTTGTGAGCAGGTATTGATTGGTACGTAATTGGTTTGTGAGAGTAAGCTCAGCAATTTTTGAGAAAACGACGTATTTTTTTCACACAAACCACTGACGTAACAGTCAATACTTGCTCACAAGAGAAGATAACTCTGCAATATGCAAAGACGGAATAGCCGTTTTCGCACTCTTCGCATCAGACGCACGTAGATACGAAAATCGCGATGAATAGATTGGTTATCGTTTCGACCACTTACAACACAGCGTTGTTATCTATAAATAGCACTCAGTCCAAAAGTTGTTAATGCGTTTGTATTTAACTTCCGTAATATCTAGCGTCTGATACTTTTATATAGATAGGTATTTCCTGTTTTCCTCTACTTTTTTACCCGATTCAGGGCAACTTCTCTTGCCTATGACGACATGACAGGACATACATGATTATATATTATTTCATAATATTTCAGTTTCCAAATGAAAACAGAACTCATTCTAATGCTAAAACCGTATTGGATTAATTTACAAACAGCAATCAAAATATGTCAAGAATATTTGTATATACACTATATACCAACAATGATATTGAAAGAATGGAATTCATATGGCAGCATTCAGAACAGTTAATATATGTGTGGTNATATATATATATATATATATATATATATATATATATATTAGTCATTATTTAAAGTAGAGACTTATTAATCCTAAAGTGTGGTTGGAGAAGGAAGGTTAAAGGAAGATTATAGGTAAACATTATTTAGTCATGTCATACTCTGGTCATACAAAGTGCACGATACGTAGAATCACCTTCTGACCCCCTTCCGGTTCATATTCTTGGAATTTTTTTCAACCTATATGAACCTGCTAACAATAAGGTTATCTTTACATTATCGTCACCACGGAAATCGCAACCTTCACTAATGGTATTTTCGAAAGGAAACTTCCACAATGGCATGCGTGATAGAGGAATTCGTGAGAATATACGATTTGAAAACATGAATTATTAGAATGATATGTGACAGATAAAATGATAACGGAATAATGAGTGTTTGGTAGCCTTTTTCCTGTATTTTCAATGAAACCTAGTTCATGCCTTTTGAATAGACAGTTCACGCATGAAATGTCACGCAATAAAAGCGTAAGTATAAACTTACTATTAATATTCAACTCTTGTACATATCTGTCCATTCTGAAGTAGTCTTATTGATACCGAATCATTAAATTCGAATTCTTTAAAAAGTAACATACGAATGCATTATTTATAAATCAAATGTCCTATCATTGCATATGTGTAGATATTAATATCTGAAATCTGAATCTTCGAAAAACAATTTCTTATCCAAATTTTTAATTGCCAAAAATTCCACATGTATGAAAAAGACTAAATTGTTTGAAAAAAACACATTTTGTAATACGTCAATGGATATATATATATGTATGATATTTAAATAAACTTAAGATATTGTCAATTTCCATTGTTTTCCTTTTGACCTTTTATCTGTTATGGTATGGTATGGTTCCATATTACATTATTTTCACATACCATTGCTAAATTATGTAAACCCTCCTACGATGTTAAACCATTCTGAAGTAGTCTTATTTATACCGAATCATTAAATTCGAATTCTTTAAAAAGTAACATACGAATGCATTATTTATAAATCAAATGTCCTATCATTGCATATGTGTGTAGATATTAATATCTGAAATCTGAATCTTCGAAAAACAATTTCTTATCCAAATTTTTGAATCCCCCCCCCCCCCCACACACACACACACACACACACACACACACACACACACACACACACACACACACACACACACACACACACACTCACACACACACACACCGTTCAATGAGATAGTCCTTGTGTCTTTCTTATGTTTTAACCTCCCTAGTTTGTCGCTTCGGTACACTTGACACTGCAATGGCCTCTACGAAATAACCGTCAAATATTTTAGATATCAAACATTCAAAAACGAGGCCTATATTTTCAAACATAAGTGTTGACGTTTTTCTTGATAAAAAGAATGTCCAGATACGTATATTTAGAGAGTGTTTCTCTAACCTTAAACATTCACCCAGACGTCATTTCTCCTGATTAAACTCGTTATGATCCAACATTAAATATGCAAAATTCAAGCAGATCATGACGCTACATGTACCAATACTTTGATTAATGATGAGCGTTGATAACACAATAAAAATATGAGATGTGTAACAATTGGAAAATGTTCGATCTTCACCTTTAAGACACTATTGGTGTACTGTCTACACCCGACTTCCAATAGTATCAAATCATCTGATGGTATATTGTATGACTCCAAATAACCCAGAATCCTACTTCTTGCTTCTTTATCATTCTTACAAAACAATATATCGTGACTTTTGACGAAAGAAAAATAAATAGATAAAGTGAAATAAGGTTAATGATGTTTTCTGTTATAGGATATGATGTATAACGGCTGGCAACATACAGTGTACCAACCCGTAGCCCAGCCAGTGGTATTACCGGCCAGCCTTGGTAAGTTACAAGATATCTAAATTTGAAATGCATATATATGCTAAATGTCTTCTCCATTTTCTCATATCAACTTGATGCATTCTCGAAAGCTCCTCCTCGGCACTCGATATATGTTACTTGCTATATCTTGAGCTCTTGATGATTACATAACACTCCGACCAGGACTGTAGGATTTTCTTAGTTGCTGCCTTGTTAGAAAATTCTATGGGTACATATAAGTCGTTATTTTCTGCCAGGTTAGAGAGTTTTATAAGAACATTCTCTACCTGGTAAGAGAGTGGAATACAAGGGTGTTTTCTACCTGGTTAGAGATTAATTAAACATGTTTTTTGAACCTTGTAAAAGAGTTCGTTAAATAAATATTTTCTACCTGGATAGAGAGTTCTATAAGTATGATTGTTTTGCCAGTTAAGAAAGTTCTATACAAAGGTATTTAAACCTGGTTAGAAAGTTCTTAAAATTATTTTATGATTTGCTTGAACATTTCTTGCAATCACATTGACCGGATCCTATACACGTGACCAGTCCTCTAAAACCCATGTAGACTGGTTATAAGTTGAAAATCGAATTCTAAATATAGCCTACACAACATGTCGTAGCGTATGCGCAGTTAGACAGGAACGTGATCTGTCAGACGACAACAAAAGATGGCTGCTTGCGAACGCTTCACCTTGGTTATATCTGAAAATGTCCAAAAACTACTCGTAGAAAAAGATGCTGTTGACACAAAAAGAAAGCCACTGAACACGCAGTGCGTGTCCTCCATGCTTTTCTTTAGGAAATAACCTTGACGATGTCTTCGAAAGCTACGATGCCGAACTGTTGGATTCAACCCTGGCTAAATTTTACACGGAGAACCTTGTTTTTTTCTTAATGTTATTGTTGAAGCATATAACAAAACAATTATGGACGTTTTTGTTGGTGAATATGATGTGATATGAACCTGAATAATTGATATTAACCGAGGCGAAGTTAATATCACTTTTTCAGGTTCATATCACATCATATTCACCGGCACGAAAGTCCATAATTGTATAATATTCCACATTGTTTGACAGTTCTAAAAATAGTGATTTTCTAACTGGTTGAAAATAAGAGCTCAAGAAGTACTTTGATATATAAGCTACAAGAATATATATAGCGTGAGTGTTTATACAAAGTATATTGAATGTTTCGTTTTGATGTATGGAAATTAATGTCCCTGCCAAACACGAGGTCGTGTGAGTACGAGTGTCAAAGAATAGGTTGCAAAAATAAAAAGGCTATGTAAGAGATAAAGTAAAAAGGCTATGTAAGAGATAAAGTAAAAAGGCTATGTAAGCGATAAAGTAAAAAGGCTATGTAAGCGATAAAGTAAAAAGGCTATGTAAGCGATAAAGTAAAAAGGCTATGTAAGAGATAAAGTAAAAAGGCTATGTAAGAGATAAAATAAAAAGGCTATGTAAGAGATAAAGTAAAAAGGCTATGTAAGAGATAAAGTAAAAAGGCTATGTAAGAGATAAAGTAAAAAGGCTATGTAAGAGATAAAGTAAAAAGGCTATGTAAGAGATAAAGTAAAAAGGCTATGTAAGAGATAAAGTAAAAAGGCTATGTAAGAGATAAAGTAAAAAGGCTATGTAAGCGATAAAGTAAAAAGGCTATGTAAGCGATAAAGTAAAAAGGCTATGTAAGCGATAAAGTAAAAAGGCTATGTAAGAGATAAAATAAAAAGGCTATGTAAGAGATAAAGTAAAAAGGCTATGTAAGAGATAAAGTAAAAAGGCTATGTAAGAGATAAAATAAAAAGGCTTTATAAGAGATACAATAAAAAAAAACTTTTGTAGAGATAAAATCTAAAGGCTATGTTAGAGATACAATCTAAAGGCTACATAAGAGATACAATCTAAAGGCTACATAAGAGATAGAATCTAAAGGCTATGTAAGAGATAAAATAAAAAGGTCATGTAAGAGATAAAATAAAAAGGTTTTGATATGTCCTTATAGATATGCTTCTATTAGTCTGGGAAACATACATACGTATTAATGGTTAATGAACTCTTTTAAGCCATGCTAATTGGAAAAAAAGCTTCCTTCCCTTCAGATCCATTATATCTGTCATTTTTGTTTATCCTAAGACAATTCTGTTAATCCTGTAAAGAATTACGTTGATATGGTAAACACTTCTTGAATGAATTTTTTTATCGGAACTTTGATCTGCAAAACCTTTGTCTTCCTATTGAAGTTTAATTTTCGAACAGGTTACCGCGATTTCGCAAGATTTGAAGCGCCACGTAGTAAACCGCTGATGGATCCTATTATCTGTAGTTAGGTTTAAGCGGTTGATTTATTCAAGAACACTACTTTTTTCTACATCGGCCACTCACCTCGGTCTCTACTTACTGCCTGGCCAATAGGGACATTTATTACAAAGCTATATGATAAACATGTCGTTTTGACTTTCCGATCGTTCAATTCTCCCTTCATTCAAGTATTTGACTATCATCGCATACTCTAAACATAGAGAAAGGTAGACATGATAATATTTCGAGACGAGACAGAATGTGAACATGCTGCAATTTAGACGAAATTGAAGATGAATTCCATTTTGTTTTACTTAAGTTCATTTTATTCAGATTAACGTCAAAAATATATAGGAATATTCTTATCAAAAACCTTGTGTATTCAAGCTAGGCTAGTTCAGCTATTAAAAGTAGAGTTAAGTTAAGCAACTAAATAAAACGGGAATTTGTTTACATTTGGCATTCAGGAAAAAACCCAAAGAAAACCTGAAGGGTTAATTATGATATTGTTTAATTTAATTATGTAAACACTACGTTATGGATCACTCTCCGTTTGTTATATATATACTCTACATATTGATGTTGTTCTTTTGCAACGTTTGGGCCGTACGACCTACGGAATAAAGAACACTGAACTACATCTTCTCCAACCAACTAGTTTACATGTCGTACATGATTCGGTTTTCACTGACATGCGTCGAATATCAAGATTTCCGCGATGGGTGTAAAAAGTGCACGGACGAACTTACAACTCAGGATTTTCAGAGATTCCATGTTGAAAATAATTATTGAGATTTTTGCAATGATGACCTTGTTCGGATATATATTGTGCAATAAAATTATCACCGATTTCGATTATGTTAATAAATCTGCCTTGACGTTTGGGTGCCACAGCCCTGGTCCTCTCTTTGAGGACATAACATCAATTGGATTTGACCTAGACATAGTATCTTTGGACACATATTAACTTATTCTTCTAGTACTTTTTTTAATGATCCCCTTATAAACATCCCTTTATACTTATATTCTTATGAAAACTGGCTTTTAAGTAAAAAGAGCACATGTAAATTTAGCATGTGCATCAGTCTTTTATTCTAACACTTGTTGGTGACATGAAAGCTACCTATAAAAATGTCAAATTTTATTCGATATATATATATATTTCTTTTTTCGTATCGAAACAAAAATTAAATTATTCCGGAGTTATTAACATGAATATTAGTGGAATAGGAAACTCTTCAATGCTGCCTATATATCCAACTCTGTGCCCTCATTGAGAGTGCTCCTCCCCCTCCCTTGTGTATAATGCTAGATATTTTTTGTCCAAAATACCTAAGCAGATATGTTGATACATGTACTAAGGAAAGGAGACCACTTTGAAATGACAGTGCCCTCTTCATAAGGCAATACTAGAAAGTTTCTAATAAATCAAGCTTAGTGTAAGTCTGTATGTCAGCGTTAGAATGGTATAAATCAATGCACCCTTGCATCAGATGTTGTAAGCACTCGAAATCATGTTTTCCTGTACGGGTTGTTATGAACAGCTGTTTACAAGTACCCTCCACGGATATGTTCATTGTTTTTAATCATGTCACTAATATATCGATATAACTTGGGTTTCAACTTCCTCTTAACTCCTTTCCAAGAATCACTTTAATTATTCAAAGCTTATTTGTCTCTAACGCGGACGTTTATAAGTATGATAATTTCAAAACAGGCTATCTATTCAAAATATGTTGAAATTTCCTGTCACAATCAGATGCATAACGAAAAAAAGAGAATATCAAAGTGTAAACAGAACCGAAATATGACCTAAAACCCCACACAACTAGGAAAAATATGACCAAATGTGATAATTACACGGAGACCTTTGGAGAAGAACTAGAATAATATACAACCTCCTTTTATATCAAGAATGAATCCATGTAATTGCAAAATCTCAAAGAGAGAATAGTGATTGTGATAACGATGGACTTTGGACGTTATGGGTCATTTTTTGGCCTCATAAAAAGCAAAAATTACAAGTTGGTTTTATTTACCAATTTCTGTCATAAGCACCATATTTGTTAATTGGGGCTATCTTTCTTGGTGCAATTAAACATGCAGAAATGAAAGCCTCTGCATGTGATAAACAAATTTTCTTTTCTACAATTAAACACTGGTATGACCATGTTTAAGCATGTCAAATATTTATTTGAGTCGTTTGTTGCATGCGGAGGCTTTCAAAGAGTGTTTAGTCAATTTCCTTCAAAATGGCCAATTTTCAACCAAATAGCGCATAACGGACGATATTCTCGCATTTTATTATGAAAATGCGCGTTTATGTCTCCTTTTGTAATGCCATATCCCCTAAACTAGTTGTCGAATGAATTTGAAATTTCATATTTGCGTACTTCATTTATTCCAGATTTCGAATATAATAACTAATTCTAAATTCTCGATGAGGCCGGAAACGACCCTTAACGCCCCTAGTCCTTTACAGGGCATACCATTGAACGTAATTAGAAACGTTGGTATTCAAATTACACAAAAACAGATGACGAGCGGACAAAGGCTATATGCCTCCATAGTCAAATCACACCAAGTTAATTGTTCAAAAGCTTACAGGAACTTCGAGTCATAATCAGTGATTAACACGCGTATAAATTACTCAATATTGGGTTGTTTAAGGTACCTTACATGTTATCTGAGTTTATGACTATTGAAAGACTTTCTTTGTCG